ACAACCAGGACCAGTAACGAGGTCCAGGGGCCGTGTGCAGACCAAGTTCGAACTATAAAACTCTCCCATAGACTGACCGTTTAAGCCCTGATGATGTCAGCAGAATGCTGACGAAAGCTTGGCGTTTGGTACTGTAACATTAAACTCCTAGAGTTTGATTATTTTACCCTGGTGTTCGTTTTATTTTATTTGTTTGGCAAACATCTATCTTTATATATCTCTATCTCTCGCTATATATTCCCATATCTACAATATGGGTTGCTTCTCTAGCATTTATGAAAGTTTTATTTATCTCACTTGCATCAAACAGAAATAAAGCCATACAAAAACAGAAGGATACATTACTGAATAATCTGAAGCAATTAGAATCAAGACATAAACTTAACTTAATTTCAGATTTAGAACAAAAGATAAAGCAATGTGGAAATCAACTACATTTACTGGATATAAACAGGAAGTTGAATTTTACCAAACATACTTTGAGAAAAGCAATAAATCACATAAATTGCCAGGATAAGGAACAGGATAAAATAACTATTATTTCTGTTTATGAGGGGATTTTTTTTCTGCAAAAAAAGAAAGGAAGCAGCAATTTGATAACTATTATTCTGGAAAACATCTATGATCTTTTTTGATACAAAGCAGCTTTTCACAGAATTTAGTGCCAGTGCAACTTAACCAGATCTTATGTGCAGCCATTGGAGAAGGCTGATTGTTACACTTTAGACATTCTACAGTTTTTGGACAGGCTTTAAGGCCATATCCTTATAGATCACATTACAATAATTCAATTGGGAAATTACAATACATGGGTAGCAACAGCCACATCAGCTCTCACCAAGAAAGGATGCAGAAATTATTCACAGATGAAAGCAACATGCCTAGCTCCATATTGACCTAAAACACTCAGGGACAGAATTCCCTGAAGTGCAGACTTGAGAAGAACACACCTGTTTGAGATAGAAAATGCCTTTCAGGTATTACCAAACCCTTAGATTTGTCTAGATCAGGCATGTCAAACTCGCGACGTCACATGACGTCACGCGACGTATTGTGACTTTTTCCCCATTGCCGGCAATGGGGTGGGCGTAGTTTCAGCATGACACATCCGGCCTATAGGCCGGCAGTTTGACATGCCTAGTCTAGATTCAATTTCTACTTATAATTACTCATCCAGTCTATGCAGAAGTCATTGCATCTGATAAGAAACCAACTATGGATAAAATTGAAATATTTATCAAGCAACAGCTAATCTAAGGTACCACACAATATTACATATTTCTGTTCCAACAATAGACCTGTGCTGTTTCCGTTGCAAAAGTAAACAGATTTTAAAAAAAGAAAGAAATATAAAAATAGAATTCACAAATTTATTATTTTTCTGTCAGCCAGTCAGTTATGCAGAAATATCATCATCTGCATTATCATATTTAACATGTTTGCATCCCAGAAACAAAACCCTTTTGAAGGTTCAAGTGGTTGTGCTGCAGCATATATGATAAGCATATTAATTATGCTAGCAAAATGCAATATAATTCCAATAGCAAATTACATTGCCTTTTTAAAAAAAAACTTTTCCAAACATCTCAGCTGTTTCTAATCGTCCTTGGGACGCTTGGCTATAGGATCCATACAAAGTCTATTTTCCCTGCAGAATTAAGCAAACCTATGAGGTAGTTGCATCTGGGGTGCACAAAACCAGGTGACCATGTAGTAGGATAGAGGGAGGGCGAATGAGACCTTGCTACCACCTAGTGGTCATTAGGGAGACTGGAGGTTGGAGAAAAAAATAGAAAAAAAAATATTTGGCCATTACAAACCATTCTTTATGGCAACTGGAGTGTCTTTTTCCACAGTTGGTGACATCTGAATTTTAGCCAGTTAAAATGCCAATCATTATTCTTACAAATAACAAAGAAAGAGTTCTTACAAAAAACGAAGTATGGCATATCCCTGTTTTGGAGCTGCATTAGGGTCACCCTGTGGGTCAGCTGAACTACTGCCAGGACAATTTCCTCCCATTTCTGGGATAGGGGAAAATCATGGCAAAGCAGTAGTTTGGATGAGCCCAAAGCTCTTGCATTAAACTCACCAATGCTGTAATATCGTTTAAGATCAGTACGCCTAATATCCTTTGGTTGACTGCTCTTTTTCTTTTTTTTCTCATAATCCTCCTTTTCTGCAGAATGCTTGTAGTTTTCTTGAGAACTGTTTGTCTGTCCTAAAACGTTTTTGCTCCCATCACCTTTTTCAGTCTGAGTTTTACAGATGTGAGTCCCACAGGTGTTTGGAGGTGGCACATCTGCATTTTGTTTAGCAAGCTTCTTTTTTTTCAAACTAGAGGGGGGGGAAAGGAAGAGATACAAACACTTAGCATATAGGAAAGAACAGTGGAATAAAGGTAACAGTTGAATAATGGCAATTTAATATTGTAAATTATCCACTATTATATACACATAGTTCTTGCTGATGAATCTAACAGGTCCTCACAGACTGTACTGCTATATGTTCTTCTTCCTTATATGTGATAGTATCAAAAAGCTATTTTTGATTCTACACTACCATATGGTTGTCATGCCACAATTGCTCATTCCAGAAATGTAAAGTAACAAGGATAAGAAAATTTGCATTCTAGCCCTGGTAATATTTTATTGCAGTTGTATAATGGATTGGATGCACATTGGAACATGTATTTCAGAATGCATGGGGATACCTGTCTGTGGTTCATTAAAGCAGCTGCATCTGTTTCCACAACTGATGTATCAGGAACTTCCCCAAAGCAGCCCATACAAAACTGGAAAAAAGATGCAGCTATTTTCATGAACTTTCAGCAGGAATGCACTCATTCCCCGACATGTTCCAAAACACCTTTTCTGAAGCACTTAGTCACTCCAGATCTGCGGTATTTTTGTTTGTTTCACGATCAACAATCAGAAATGCAAGCCTCATTCAAAGTACGGCTACTTATAAATCGGTGATCCCCTACCAGCACAAAGTGCTACAAGGGGTGGAAGTAGAGTTTTCCAGCAGTACTTCTATGCTATGGAACAGCCTTTTCTTAGAGATTAGATTTGTCTCATCATAAATGATATTTTGGAATATATAAAAGATAACGCTCTTTCAGACAGTTCTTTTTAGTTTGACCTTATTGTAAATTAGCTCTGGTTGTTTTTAGGACTGATTTTATTCTGAATTATATTTATTTTCATCCTCCCCCTTATTATTATTTTATAAATAACTCAAGGGAATAAACATATTTTTCTTCCTCCTATTTTCCCCACAGCAACAACATTTGAGGTAGGTTGAACTGGAAGAGCATGGCTGGCCCAAATGCTTGGGCCTTTCATGCCTAATACAGGATCAGAACTCCCAGTCTTCTGATTCCTAGCACCTTAACCATTATAGCACCTTAACCACTAGCACCTTAACCACTATACCAGGGGTAGGCAACCTTTGCTCTTTTATGACTCAGGAATTCCTGGCTCAGGAATTCTGGGAGTTGAAGTCCACGAGTCATAAAAGAGCAAAGGTTGCCTACCCCTGCACTATACAGTACTACACTGCACTAAACTAACTCGTATTATTGCATATTGATTAGCATCATAGAAGTTTTTATGCATACCTAGAGATTTTTTTATTGTTGTTATGTGCCACAAAAAGACTTTAATTTATGGTAAGATTGAATTTAATGTCACGCAATAAAACATTAAAAAGTAAAACAAATATAGATTTATGTAAGGACATTTTAAATATGGCCAATCTGCTGTCAAAAATCTGGATAACAGACAAAATCTTTAGGAACTCCCAACTGTGGAAGTAAAGTTAACTTTGGCCTCCAGGGCAAATATATGAAAAGGAAGAAATGTAGTTATCCCATCCTTAATTGTTCATATTTGCTTCTAATCATAATGAGGGATAGAAGAAAGATGGAGTACATAATTTATCACTCAGTATAATATCTAAAAATCTTGTCACATCTATGAGTATTTGGTATTTTAAATTTTTGTAGGATAATTTTTAACGTTAATCTCTTTTATTCCCATTCAATGCTTGTATTATTTTGTGTTTTTTACATGCAATGTTGCTATATTCTTTCAGCAAGACTAATCACAGATTTCCTTCTGTTTCTACTAATATCCTGCAATTAAATAGCTTGTAAAAATATGTGACGTTTAACCTGAAGATGGTCCTGATCTCCATTGCCTTTCTTCCCTATTGATACTAAAAACAACTGAAAGAAAACAATCTGTTTAAAAGGAAAAACAGATCTTTATTATTTACATAGGGTATTTGTATGAGATCCATTCCTTTAACACTTTCGGCAGCTATTACAGACATCTAGTAAAACAGCAGAAGTACAATTAAAACAATCATTAAAACAACAAGTCAATACATTTTAGAACAATTACAATCCTCAAATACATAAAACAACTGAACCAATTCATAAACAGGGATATCTGGTTGTCGCCTAAACCAGGGGTCCCCAACCCCCGGTCCGTAGACCAGTACTGGGCCGCAGCATGCCAGCAACTGGGCCACACAAATAAGCAAAGTCCCATCCACGGGATGCAGGCTGCACACAAAACCACACACCCCTGGTCTGCAGAAAAACCTCTCTCCACGGAACCAGTCCCTGGTGCCCAAAAGTTTGGGGACCTCTAGCCTAAACTGTAACAGGGGTTGGGGGGCACCATTTTACAGTGGTTCTCCTCCTACCTCTCGAACCGGACGCAATTTGTGTTGGCAGGGGGGCAGAGGTCAACCTCGAGGCTCCTCACTTGTGGGGTACCACAGGGGTCGGTCCTCTCGCCTCTCCTGTTCAACATTTATATGAAGCCACTGGGTGAGATCATCC